ATTTTATATCGTTTTACACATTTAACGCATTTCATAACTGTTAAACTAATTAAATTACTTGGTTAATATATTATTATGATGGTATTAATAAAAAAAGCATAATTTTTAATATTAACTTAAATAACTTAATTTCAGGAGTTTCTGGTATTATTTTTTATTATTATCTTGGATTAAAAACATATTTTTCCATGTATTTATATCAAAAGCATAATTTTGGTAACGTAATCAAACTTTTAATGCAGTATCCAACATTTAGAATCTTCTTTGATTAGTAATCTATTTCTAAATGGAGCGAGTTACTAATTTCTCTCTCTCTCCGTCTCTCTCTCTCTCTCTCTCTCTCTCTCTCTCTCTCTCTCTGAGAGAGACGTGATCATATACAAGCAATTTTCTCGCTTAAGAACTATTCAGAATTCGCATAGTGCGCGTTATTTAAAAACGGGACGAACTTTTGCGCAATTTAATTTAAGTTGTTACACATTTAAATTAAGTTTCGGCATGTAGTTTTTCTACGGTTAAGTGGTTTTTTATTAAATAAAGTTTTCAATAGCTTCATGTTTAACAACCATTCTGGGAGAACTCATATGCGATAAGTACAAGCATCAAAGAACTAATTTGCTAACTTAAATTGCATTGAAGTAAGAGAATCTGATCAACTCCCAACTACTGAAGGAACACCTAAGGGACCTATGAAAGGCAAGTTGTAGATGTATATTGAATTAATTAAAAAGACCTCCGAAGTAATTTGGTTTCTGGAAACCGGAAATACAATAAAGATTGCTTTAGAATTTTAGCACGTCACGCGTTTCGTCTTTATCATTGAGAACAGCATTAATTTTATAATGTCTACGTCTTGGTTTGAATTCCTAAACTTCAAATTTCTCGGATAATAGGATTCCACCGATTATTACCTCTCTCGTTGTTTATTCTTTCCTATAATTGAAGCTAAGTTTTATATACAGTAACTTCCATTAATATTCAGACCCCTATTAAAACGCATTTTTTTTAGATGATAGAGGGACTAGTCTACTAGACAATGATATGACTATGACGAAACTATGACGAAACAAAATAAAAAACTCTCATTTTTAACTTTATTATATATATTTTGTAGATCTTGTTAAGTTACATGTATGCTGAATATCTGGGTGTCACTGTAATTAGATTTTGCTACATATTACTTTGAATACAAGCTTCAGCATTAATTGTAATTCATACATGCATAGTATAGTAGCATTCTTTAAATCTTTTGTATTCAACCAATCACTGTTTTGAGCTTTGTAAACGACAGGAAGATTCGATGCATGTTTGAAACGTCTCGGATGTTGAGATTTTCCGATCATAAAAAGTGGAAGCAAAACATTATTGTTACTCTTTCCTTTAAACTTGTATACCCTAAAGCTGTAGTTTTCAAACTCGAAGCAAGAATTTTCTTCGGTAGCGTTCGTCAATACAGCCAAGTCTCATCGGCATTAGACATATATGCTATTTTCTTGCGTAGCTCTCCTGATATATGAGATGCTGGATGTGTTTTGTAAAGTTTTCTGCACTTATGAAGTCTGCTGGCAATATTTAGGAGTGCCATGATGTCATGATGGTTTTTAAAATTTCTCAACCGTCCATTATCTCATTACATCTTTGCATTTAATAGCAATGCTTTTTCACACAGAACTGGACCACTAGGTATACTGTTTTTTCTAAATTATAATTTTCAGGCTTTGAGATAATGGTTTCTTCATTCGTTTTTGTTGCTTTATTCGCATTCGATGATGTGAAGATACTAATTTTATAATAAAATCACGGTTCAATCTCCATTGGTCTTTTGAATTTTATTCTTATTACCTTTAAAAATAATTCTAATTGATTGAAGAGCGTGTAAAACGTTTGCGATTTAAGAAACGTGCACTTGCAAAACTTTCACTTGGAACCTAATAGCCTTTAAAAAGTATGTGGGAGAGATTCACATTTTACTGCATCGTATTACGTTACAGAAATATTATGTTTCTTTAATCTCAAAGTTAATTTCAACATCGACGTTCCTTTATACTACATTCATTTTTAAAAGCGCTTCAAATTAGAGTAATTACCAACATTCTACGTGTCTTGCTTTTATATGGCTATACTTGACTCCTACATTAATTTTTCATGAGAAACGAGTTAAATTAATTGGAATGATATTTTTGTCATGCATAGTAGCAAATGAGAAACTGTTTCATTTCCATAAAACTACGTGATTTTTACAACCTCTTTAATTAATATCTTTATAAGCTGTATATTTTTATGTCGCAGTATTCACCCTCGTCATGTATCACTTTTTTTCTATCGTTCGGGTAAGAAGTAAGTGCCTGAGAGAGGAAAAAATCGACAAACTCTATCGATATTTTGAAATCGTGTACTACAGGGTGAAGCTAAAAGTTTGCTACGTAAAAAGCAAACTCGAACTTCTGGGTAATAATGTAACGAACTAAGCGTAATTAAGTAATAATTTAAACAGGATCTTAGAAAATCAGAATTCAGGTAGTACATGTGTAACGATGAGTTAAAGTGGACTAGTCCTCGCCGTAGTTTATGCCAAGTTTTCCTAATTAACGTTTCTACATTGAATAATGGCTGCGACTTTATTGTTTGCCTGTTTCTTATTTAATCTCGCTTATTGCGAAGTTTACATTGTCACGCTACATTATCTACATATACCCTCGCCTCTGAAATCGTAATTTTTCTGGTAATTATTGTATGTGTACGCTATAACAAGTTGTCATGCTAGTTATGAAGATTTCATATATAATCGGTTAAATATATGGATATAATTCACAAATATAGTCTTGAATATTTTTTCATATTGTTAGAAATAAGAAAGATGTTCGAGGTGAATGATGTTCTTGCTTCCGCTTCTATATGAATAATACGTATATCGTTTAATAAAATAATATGTACTATTGCATATACAAAGTAGATACCTATATAGCGATCAAAAATTCCGTATATCTTTCATAGAACAGTCGGGTGCATACAAGTATAACACTAAATCTGGTATTGTCAATTATGCACGATTATACTAAGAAATTTATGTGTTCCTAGAATGCAGAGTCGGCAAAGATCGATGACATAAAATAATTCACGAAGCCCACAAATGTTATGCCTTACTTTCTTAACCCTTTGAAGTCTATCGTGACATATATGTCCCACTTATGCATTTCGTACGTCTATCGGAAGAAATGAATCCCGTTTTTCCACAATACACAAATATACCAGTCTTAGAATGCATACCACGCACATATTTGTTTACATGTAACCAATGGGACACATATGTCCCAGCCCTTAGAGTCTAAAAGGGATAACCTACACTAATAAAATCAACATTTCTTGTTATTAGCATCAACATATACGTAAAACTTGACTCCAGATATAACGTAAAATAACGAAAAATAAATCAGACTCCAAAGGGACACAAACACCTTTGCACATAGTTATTCTGTGTAAATATGAACAATAATTTATAGAAATAATATATTTGTTTCTTCAGCTATGTTCGATGTGAATCGAACAAAGTATAACAGTTTTCTTGTAATATTTTTGTTGATTATTTGATATAAATATATAAATATAAGAAGTGTTTTTAAAATGACTACTAGAAAACCATTTCATATCATGGACTATAGAATAGTATATCATACTAACTTCTGTTTATTGAACAGGTTTTACCGAATTCAATTGCATTTACTTCGTACACTTTTTGTGGTTCTGCATAGTTAACAAATTATTATGAAGAGAAATCTGTAGAGAAATCAGAATGAAACTTAACCTTCTCATCAAATCGGTTTTCNAATGGGACACATATGTCCCAGCCCTTAGAGTCTAAAAGGGATAACCTACACTAATAAAATCAACATTTCTTGTTATTAGCATCAACATATACGTAAAACTTGACTCCAGATATAACGTAAAATAACGAAAAATAAATCAGACTCCAAAGGGACACAAACACCTTTGCACATAGTTATTCTGTGTAAATATGAACAATAATTTATAGAAATAATATATTTGTTTCTTCAGCTATGTTCGATGTGAATCGAACAAAGTATAACAGTTTTCTTGTAATATTTTTGTTGATTATTTGATATAAATATATAAATATAAGAAGTGTTTTTAAAATGACTACTAGAAAACCATTTCATATCATGGACTATAGAATAGTATATCATACTAACTTCTGTTTATTGAACAGGTTTTACCGAATTCAATTGCATTTACTTCGTACACTTTTTGTGGTTCTGCATAGTTAACAAATTATTATGAAGAGAAATCTGTAGAGAAATCAGAATGAAACTTAACCTTCTCATCAAATCGGTTTTCGTCACACTACAATGATTATTGTATATGACTTATGATGTAACATAATTTTTCCAAGAATAAAATATTATGCAGTTTAATGTCGTGTTTTTTTTTATACATTGTCATAACATTTGTAACGTATTTTCCAATCCTGGTATACTTTCGATATCTTTTCGAAAGTTTTCGTGTATCTCTAGGTAGCGATGCTGTATTGGAAAAAATTTTCTCAATTTTCTTACGTTGATGTGCAATTGTCTTCTGGAAATAAATTTTCGTTTCATATCAAGCCAATTTCAAAGTCGCGACAAAACTAAAAAACAACGTTTGTCAAACGTTGAACTATGTATCTAGATATAACGATTGAAGCAACACCGAAAGTATTTAATTTTTCCATGTAATTATGAAGATGTGCTTGTGTATGTGGCAACAAAACGAACGGAACGAGTGAAAATGATCTGTTTCTAATAAAAATACAGCCACCACATTATCAATCCTCTAGAAAGGGAAAGATTTCAAGCATCCGAACGGTACCGCATTCAACAAGTGATCCCATACGTTTAAGTGACAACGTATACTTGACTGACAATGGCTACGACAACGTATCAAAGGCTGCTCTTCGATAATCGTGTTGTTATTGCCCTGTAGCGAAGGAAATGATTTAAACTCACCACCAAAGTCCCCGCGCGGAAGTCACCACACTCGGCTAAGCTGGTCGAACACTCGCGCGGAGCGGGGCTCGTGGTTCGTACTGACGTGAGCTCGCACGCGAAACGAACGAATTCAGGGTCCTCGTGTGCCTTCGGCACCACTTGTTCTCCCCCGTCTACTTCGCTACCCCCAGCCACGTCGAGCACGATGCGCAACCTCGGAATATTTATACCACCCCCCCGCTAACCTGCTGGCCCGATGGTCCGTAGCCCTGCTCCCCTCCCGACCATTCCGATACCCTTTCACCCTACCATTCTTTCGCCCCTTTCACCCTATTTTCCCCTCCCTCCTTCCAGCCCTACCGTCCGACCGAGGAACTGCTCGAGACGAAAATTGTTTTACGATTCCAACGCGACGATCGTGCACCATCTCCGATGCGCTATTTGCTACTTCGTTTTCCTATTTGTTTCTCGACCTTCTATTTTCTGTAGTCTTACCTTCCTAAATCACTTGGCGTGGAAATGCTGAGTACACAATTTGGAAGCAATCGAACAACGGATATCTGATGTGCCCGTACATCTCTTAGATGTACTTTTTATCCTAACTCTGAAGGATGTCAATATCTCTAAAATAACGAAATACAGTTATGTTTGAAAATGAAATTTAGGAGGGTAAGACGGCGTTTCGAACGATATTGAATGTTATGTAATAGATAGTAATTAACTATGTACATTACAATTCCATTGAAATAAAATATGCATTTTGCGTTCCAGTGAAATGGAACAAGCATCGTAATCTCGTTGGTATTAAGCAAAGTACAATGAATAATAAAAATTCTAATATATTAGGTAATCATAAAATGTGAGAACGGATATGGTTAGCCTTTTCTTTCTTCGCTGGTGTTTAATCAATTTTTAAATGTGGAATGAAGTTCGTAATAAATGGAAATTACTTTATTCTCATATCATGTGCGTAGTACCGGGAATTTTTGTTATAAAATGAAATAAATTGAAGGTATTCATGCGTCATCCTACACTCATTAGTAACTTCGCGGTATTCTGGCAAGAAACGTAATCTGATACTTCGTATTAATTAAACATGTTACTGAATATAACGAGCATCCAATAATAACAGAATTACAGTTTGAGATATTTTAGTCTGACCTGTTTATTCGCAGCATAAAAAGAACAACTGGTTGATAATATAGATGTTGTTGCAAGTAGGAACAAGTTCTCGTTTTGAGCAGAATAATACAATTATTCGTGCAGTTATTGCTTGTGAATCAAATCTTGTTTTAGAGTCCGTGGAATGCAAACGAGTCAAAACGCTGGTAACTTTAATACATGAGAACTTTTATAACAAATTTTATTTAATTAAATTTATTTCAAACCTAGTTTTTGAAAACAGATTTTATAATACCTGTATTGTAACAAACACGGTTTTCTGAACTGAAGAAGCAAAGAAATAAAATAATGAATCCGAATGTGGAAACATAATATTTGGTTTCGAAATACAAATTAAATTTTCTCAGTTGAAAATAAATCCGGAAATTTATGTTCAAGAGAATGAAAGAAATGGTTATTGTCCTAAATAATTTTGGGATTTTATGTATGTAAGGATTACGATGGAAATATTTCTTTCATAATTCGTCACCGTAAACAAAATTTTTATATTCATTGTAAAACAGTTTATAATGATTAAAAATCCGAACGTTCGCGTGCTCAAGTTCTTAACAATCATAATAGAATGTAATTGCTTATGATCCGACGATTGTCGAGATTGTTCTACATGTTTCTGTTATTTCAACCCTCATTTTATGACTCACGTCACGTTCACTTGCAATTTCACACAGTGATAATCTTTTATTACACAAAGAAATGATTTCGATCTGTTCTGAACTAAGCAAAAACTTATTGCAGTCAATGTAAGAAGCCGTTGTAGCTGTGTGCACTGCCGAATGTGTTGCTTTACATGACGCCCCTGATATTCCATGGAAAATCAAGACCATAAAATTCTCATTCACAAATTTTCTAGTTCGATAAAATTAAAAAATTGCAAATATTCACGAAGCTCTTTTGTTCTATGAGATTTGGTCCCGAAATTTGGTTTACGGATATCGAATTAACATTATCGCTTTTTTGCTGAATACGCGTCCCCCTTAAATTACATCTAATGGGAACATAAATAATAAGGAACAACGAGCAGCGACTAAAACTTCCTGGGGTTACTCACAAGAATGTCATTGACAACGTCTGTGAAGATCAAGGTCATCAAATCTGCTTTCTCTGAATATCAGTTTTTCTCTTTTTATTGTCAGACTACAGGAGATTCCATTTGTAAATGTTTTCCCAAGCATGTCCGATTTGCAGAGGAATACCAAGACGACTCAGTTGATAGGGAAAATCCGTTAACAAGTAATAGAACCTCGAAATCGATAATGCCAATGTGATACCTTAAAACATGTCGATCTATCATGGATTCCTGTGACGCGTTCCTCGCCGGCGCGACATGACGCGCGACGGCGGTAAAATCGAATTTTCAAAGCATGCCGCTTTAAATCACGAGAAATGGTTCGTAGGTAAGTTTGCGTGTCTGGTGGCTTTCACGGTGAATTCATCATCCCGCGGGTATTGCCTCGTAACGCATTTCCATGTAACACTATATTCGACGGCGTAAACGACCACGTGAACGGGGGAATGCGACCGGCGCACGTTAAACATTATACCGTGCCTGGGTCAGTTAATTGGTCAGAGCAAGCCAGTTAGTTTCATTACGTTACCTCCATCTTCGTGAGTTTCGCACAATAGAGGCCTCTTCCAGTATCGGGGCCACTAGGACTGGCTGCGCGCTAGAGCCTCCATATCCGAACCAGACGCGTCCCTATCCAAATCCTATCTACCTAATAAAAGAACAGTCTCAGCTGGTGGAGCCTGACTTTTTCGAGATTTAGTACGGACGGTGGTTCACGTCAAATCTCTCACCTATCATTCATCATTAAGCAGAATGTCATCATGTTGTTCGAAGGAATAAAGACTGGGTTAAGGAACGAATTGTTCTCCGACTCACACTTTTCGAGGTCAACGATGTGGTTTTTAAATGGGATTATGTATTTTTATTACCGTCACATAGTAGTCGATTACAAGATGAATACAACGATATATCACAGGGTGACATTTGTGTTACCTCGAGCATAAAAAATGAGTACAAATTTTTTACCGAGCACATTTTATTTTAGAAGTCGAAGGGTTTGCAGCGATAAGGAAGGAATTCCACTTTTGACACATTTTCATTCACCTAAATTTTCTATTGTCCATACGTACAGCAAACGTTTATAAAACTTTGATCGCAAATATCGAGTCAATTCTGACAAAATTAGGTGTAAAATTTGTAAGAACCGTGTACTCCGATATATTCGAATAATAAGGATATACATACGTATAATAAATAGCATTTGTAGTGCAGTGACAAACATTGCCGCCTACAGATTTTTCGCCCAGAGTTCGATCCCATTAAGAGAATACTTTTTTTCAGGCAAAGTAGTTGCCCTGAGACAACTACTTATACCATACTACAATTTAATGATGTGAAACTCGACTTTAAAGTTTGTTCATCTTTGTTTTAGTTGTCGTCTTTTCTTCTACCGCAATTGCCTCCGTCCGACACAGTGTTTACAAACATTGACAATGATGGAAACATTCTGTTTGCTGTATAGTTCGCAACGATTAATATTTGTAAACACCGTCTCGGACGGAGGCAGAAGAAGAATAAACGACAACTACAGTAAATTCTCCCTGAAAGATCCGGAACTCGGAACTGAAAATGGTAATCGTCAGACATTCAGACACGATTCTTCGAGCCTCGTGGTTCGTTTTTATAGAAACTCGGGGCGATCAGCAAAAAAGGCAGTGGCCAGCATGCTGGTGTATATTAATATGAGTACATAGTAATGCTAGAATAAAAACGACGACTTAATTTTTTGCCACGATTCGAAGGCAATTCGGAGGCCACGTGCCACGATTCGAAGGCAATTCGGAGACTACATGCCACATTTTGACGAAAATTGATCACGTACCTTGTATGTAGCTCCGCGATTTTTCTTACCCGACTCACACCCAAACAGACCATTTTATGTTGTCTTCCGGGAATTCGCGTCGCGTGCCGCATCACACCTTTGGCCGATTCCGTCGAACGTCTTAGCATCGAGGTAACAATGAATTGTATAGGTGTAGGACTGGCACAGAGAAATTCGCAGCATCCTCTGAAATTTGACATTTTCGGGAGAGACTGCTGTAAATCCTTTTCAAAGATGGGTATTTTTGGAATCATACTAATATATACTCTAAAAACAGTTCTCTTAATACAATTATGTATTATTATACATTAAAAGGATAGGTAAAACAATAAAATGAATGCAGAATACAGGAGAAAATTATTTTTTCATTCGTCATTTTCGCAATTTATACACATAATAATATCATTGGTGTGAATTTTACAAATAAATCTATTACATGTTGTATATATTGTCTTTAATTATATTATATAATTTAATATATATATATAATTTAATTATATTATATTGTCTTTAACATCTGCCTCGGAATCTTGCATTTCAGGTTCAATGTCACTTTGATCATCCGAAGAATTATCACTATTTCCAGGATCTTCTAGTTGTCCAAAGACAGTATTTTCGTCCTTGTTTAAACAATTTTCTCCTGACATCGCAATATAGTATATTATTTCAAGCGAAATTTTACAAAGAAATGGAATAAAATTTTACACAGCACTTCACTGTTCACCTCTATGCTGATTACTGGACAGGAACTGTATACAATGTGCGTAACATTCCTTACATACTTTTCAGATTAAGTGTGACCCGGGGTTAGCCGACCGAGCGTTGAAGTTTAAAGTTAAAGTTAACACCGAATAAAAAGTATTACCGACGTACCGCAGCCAAAATACATAAACTAAAACATCGCGGTCCGTAACGAGCTAAAAGCTAATAATCTATACTTTGAATCATCGATAAAATCTGTTTTCCATCAAATATTTAATTGATTCGGTCCATAGATATACAGCTGGCGAAACATCTTGACAGGCTAGTTTACGAATGCTTCCTGTGGGTTGTGGTTCGAGCCGACACAGCAGTCTTGTTACGACTGAAAACTG